GGCGGCGGGGCGGCGGGGTGGCGGCGGGCTGAGCCATTGGACGGTCGGACAGGACCCGGACAAGTCGTTCGCGAGGTTCGCGCCGCGCCGGTGCGGGTGCGTGGGGCGGGCGCGCGCGGTGGCGTTGCCGGTGCCGTCGGCCACGCGCTGTGCCGCCTCCGCCCGAGGCCTGGCCTGGTCGGAGGCCTCCACGGCATCTCTTCGCACTCACCTCGTGAGCTTCGAAGCTTTCTGAGGTACACAAGGAGGCCGTGTGTGCAGCCTCCTCCTCGCAATGCTTTGCAAGCTCGCGGTGCAACACTCTCAAACCCTCATTCGTTTCGTGGCGCAGAATTGTTCTGCACGTTTATGCCCCAGAAGATCGTGCCAAGGTTTCTGTGTGCAGACTCGACGGCCTCGGCGTCTTTCACCCGAAAGTCGCGAGGTTGTGGCGGGATGGTGGTCTCTTTCGGCTTGTAATCTAATCTGGGTCACTCACACGGGCGAAGTCACGGGGTGGCACCACTCATTTAGACCTTTTCGAAATCCTTTGAATGAAAGACCCCTCTGCTCGAGAAAGAGGACATTTTTTTTTCTCGCCCATTCCTCCATGTTTCGATTTTTATGTTCCCCTGGGTAAGAATGGTTTACTTTCCTATGAAGATGCACCCAAAATTGCTATAGTTGAACGCTCTTCGACGCTTTTAAAGGTTCAGTGTGGGTGTTGGGCACAGCGGCGCCGCCACGTGGTCGGCTCAATCGTGTTAGCAGCTTTCTAAAAAAATAAGATTTAAGAAAAATACTTTAGGAATAGGTGATGCAACTCGGCAACTCGATGCCTTTTTATTTCTCGTTCTCTGAGTTATTGGCAGGATGAGCCCAAAAAAATATGGGTTCAGATACTTATAAAACGCGTGGACTTGCTAACTTGTTCTCTGAATGCACAAAGCTAAACTCTTCCATTTTGTGGGTGTTAAATGTGCCACCTGCCAAAAAAATAAAAATGCCTGAGCTGAAAGCTGAGTCGGGTTTGAGCCTTAAGCGCCCACACCACGACTTTGGCTTTCCAGGCCAGCGCTCCCCCACCGCACGCCCTGGGCACCAGGTCCTACCACAACGTGTGCGGCCGAGCGGCCTGCGCCCGCGCCAGCTTGCACCCTGTGGAGCCTAACGCAACAGGAGGGTCGTGAGGGGTGGGGTGGGGGATCGAGCGCCTCAGAGTGAAAAGAAAATGAGTGGGTGGGACGCCCTCTGGCCCAGGGGGGACCG